AGAGAGAGAGAGAGAGAGTCAGAATCTGTTTAAATTTACGATATATTCAACAACATGGTCAAATAATGTTTTGTTCTCAATTTCGTTTAGAGTTTCTAATCCACATAAAATTATTTTGACAAGAACATTTGGCATGAGCTCTACAATAAGGTTGGAATTGATATTTGGAGCGAATATATGACAAACAGCACGGAGCATATTGGAACGAATTCGGTTATATTTTGGACAAAGTAAAAAGAAATGAATTTCATCTTCGGAGGAGTTCGCGCAGAAGTCACAGAATTTGTTATTAGTTAAATTGTAAGAGTATCTATGTTTGTTTAAAGCACTTAGTCCCATTCTTATTCTAGAGTGATTGATTTTTCCTTTCCCATGTCCATATGCATATAAAGAGTTTGTTTGTGGAGTGGATAGATTTGACAGTGCTAGAGAGAAAGACGTTAGTGAAGAGCTATTTCTCAATGCTTCAGGTAGGTTGTTCCAGTCTCGTATTGATTTTGGAAAGAAGGATTGGTGATAGAAAGATTTTCTTGACAGGATAGGAAGAATAGTATTAGAATTTCTAAAGTTGTAGTTTTGTGTTCGATGACTCTGAATTGGACAAATAGTTTTCAAGTATGGCGGACATAGATCATGCTTAATTTTAAATAACATTTTAAGTCTGCAATTTTTTCGTCTCTCACTTAGTTTTTCCCATCCCAATTCACCCAGCAGTTTAGTATATTTGGTAACCTTATAACCGCCTGTGCATATTAATGCCGCCCTACGCTGAACACTTTCAATAAGGTCAGACTCTTGCTGACTGCAGTTATCAAATAAAATATTGCCATATTCCATAACCGATCTTACCATAGTTTTATATAGTGTTTCAAGACAAGAACGTGGGATAATATAAGCTAATGCTTGTAAGATATTTAGTATTCTGTTTGCTTTGGCTACAATTTCTGAAATATGAGAATGCCAGCTGAGGTTACCCGATAGAATTATGCCCAGATGTTTATGGTTAATTACATGTTTAATCGGAATGTTGTTAAGCAGGAGGTTCGGTTTATTAACAAATCTTTTTTTAGAGAAAATAACAAATTCAGTTTTTAGTGCGTTAAATGTGACAAGCCATCGCTTTGCCCACTGAGACAGAGTAGTTAAGTCGTCGTTTAGTGTATTTACCGATTCGTTGCTATTTATGGTTGATGAGAGAGATGTGTCGTCAGCGAATAAGTTAATGTCAGATGAGATGCCTACATTTATATCGTTTACATATACTAAAAATAAGAGCGGTCCAAGGATCGAGCCCTGGGGGACACCAGAGTTAATATATTTATGACCAGAAGATTGACCGTTTAAGACTACATACTGTTTTCTATTATAAAGATAACTTTTAAGCCAACAAAGCAAACTACCTCTAATACCTATGTTTTCTAATTTGTGAAGTAGACCTTCGTGCCACACCTTGTCAAAAGCTTTTGAGACATGTAAAAATACTGTACAAACATCCCCACCATTATCTATACATTTATAAATGCTGTGGATTATTTTTAACAGCTGATTAATGGTAGAATCAATTCTTTTAAATCCAGTGTTTTCTTTGATAAGAATGTTATTTGCCAAAAAGAATTCATAAATACTTTTGTATACTATTTTTTCAAGACATTTAGATATATTTCAAAGAAGTGATATTGACCGATAATTTTTAACATCATTTTTGCTGTCTTTTTTATGAATACGACAAACTTGAGCTGTTTTCCACAAAGTGTGAAAAATACCTGACCTGAGAGAAGTATTAAAGATATGTGCCCAAGTATGACATAATGATTGACAGCAATTTTTTAAGAATAAAATTTCCTATGCCATCTGGTCCTGTTGCCTTTTTGGTGTTTAGCGACTTAAAAATATTACATACCTCTTCTGGAGTGGTTTGTACGGTACTAATTACAGGTAAGTTATTATTTACATTAGTTTGGGTAGTACTGGTTTCTCAATGTTATCCGGGATAGTACTTTGATCAGAGAAATATGTGTTGAATCGATCTGCCTTATCAGTATCATCGTGTATATAGTGATTGTTTTCCATTAAAGGAGGGATAGTGTGATCGCTATTTTTGCCTAGAAGTGATTTAGTAATTGACCAGAAATGTTTAGGATTGGTATTTTTGTTAGATAGTTTAATAATAGTGGATTCTTGCCAGCGTTTAAGTGCTTCGCGTTTTACCCGATTTGCTTCCCTACGTGCTACCTGGAACCTGAATTTATCGAAATCTGTACCTGCTCTTTGAAATAATTTGTAGTATCTATCTCTAGTCCGAAAGGCTCGACGTACTTCGTTTGTTAACCACGGTTTGTCGCGAGGACGAATATTGACTACTTTGTTTATGATAAAAGTTTTACACGTATCTAAGATAAACTTGTTTACATTATCAATGATATAATCTAAAAGATTAAAAACACCAAAGAATATATCAATATGGGCGGTGTTGAATGCATTGTTCAAGCCATCGATATCAGCAGTTTTGTAGTCCCATGTGGCTCTCTGATATTACTGAGGCTTTGGAACAGAATATTTCAGTTTACATGAAATAGAACTATGATCAAGGTTACAGAGTGGTGATTTTATATCAACATTTGATACAAAGTGGACTTTATCAACAAAAATGAGATCAAGTATATGTGATGAATTATCGGTAAAATGGGTAGCTTTATTAATTAATTGTGACAAATTATTTTGGATCGCAATATCAAAAAGACGACGTCTAAGTTCACTAGTCACCAGTAATTATAATATTTAGCGGATTTTCGGACTGCATTATTTGGACAGTGTCTGAAAAGTAAGTTAGGAAGTCATTTTTAGTGCGGTATCTGTGCTGTAGCATTCAAATGAGGTGGCACTATAAATGAAGCCGATGGAAGCACGGTCCCACTACAAACAGAAAACAGTACATCCCTAGCACACACGCAGATATACACACATAGGGAGATATAAGCCAGGTGACATATGCTTAATAGTTAGCGCCTGATAAGGCAGCTCCTGCGAATTCCTCAAAATTATATTGATCAATGTATATGCCAATTGTATTAATTGTATATCTATGTACTGTAAAGCGCTTTAGAGTGGCTAATGTTAGCTAGATAGGGCGCTATATCAAATGTGGTATATTTATATTATTATTATACATCTTGTGTATCATGTAGATTTTTGAGTTTATATGTTATCGGCTATCTATTGCTTTCTAAAGCACGTGGATTTGTCGCCGATAACTGACGACGGTGATTGTGAGAATTTTACACGTTTGTTGGATAAAAACATATACCTATATCATGTCAGTTGATTCATTTCTCACTCGCTAGCCTAAATGCTATGTCCTAACCCGACACATTATGGACACTATATCGTTTTATTCGATTTACTCCCGACTGGTCACATCGACAGCCACATTGCATTCATCAACATGTATCGGCCAGTCTGATTGGCTTCGGGAAATTCGACTTCTTGACAACAACAAAAGGTATCATTTTACACGGTTAATTTTTCTTATAATCATAACGTTAAAAATGCTGGAAATATCTGAGTTAATTCGGCATACAAAATCAGCACAATAAAGATAAAGTAATCCATCTTGTGGACTTGAATTGTGTCTGCGTAGCCCATACTCTTTACATTTGATCAAATTAACCGAAAGCATCTTTTTAAATTTTGATTGGCTTTGACCCCAATTGATTGCTGGTGGGCTATGATTACTAGGCCCAAGTTTTCATGAAGGGGTGAAAATGCAGACACGGTTCCTCATTTTAGTATGCACCCTAGACATTGAGTAACCGGATTAGTTTTATTCATTTACTACTACATGTCACTTTGTGGCCCGTAAAAATGAGCAAAGAAAAACATCATTTGGCATATTGTTTTATTATGAAAACAAAACGTATGTCATAAATCAATAATAATATATACAAACAATTCTCTATAAAACAGCAAAATAGACACAGTTGATGGAGAGAGTGCGCATGCGCAAGGTTTAGGACGGAAATTTCGAAGTGTGAGAACCATCACCAACAAAAGCATATTTCCTAGCGTTTATTTGAAATATTCTATCAAAACTTTATATTAACGGCTTCTCTAGACTACACTTTAGAGGAATCTCGTAATATTCATACTTTACTAGTGCCCGATTTCCTGTGTTTCGATCAAACCCTGTTTTTGTGAACACTAATAACCTACAGTATTTCGGCGATTGTTTACATTAGTGACAGTACGTGATATGAGCGAGAACAAGATCAGAAAATGTCTTGCAAGGCTAAGAATCCTACAGAAAGGTAACAGATTACGAACACCAGTGATCTTGACGGACAGTAAAGGTAGATATCTAGAACGAGAGACGCTACATTCCAACGAAAAGGAACTCACCTGGTGGAACAAAGGTGGTGCGAAAGTTGAGGACAGTTTAAAGTGGCTGATATCCAACATCGCCAAAAAGATCGCGAGACACGGTAACATCGGCTCGGCACGTGTAACCTAACCACCAAAACCAAACAGTTTGTGTCGCTAACCCCAAACATCGAGGAGGAAATTAGCAGGATTGTGTCAATCTATCGTGAAATAAGCTGTAAGCAACACCATACATGATGTACCATTCAATAAATACTGCGATGATTTACGGGTTCCGGTTCCACTACCAAAACGATAACTACGTACTGAAAACTTCGTTTTCTGGCTACGTCTATAGCTTTAATAAATCATTTCTGAAAAGAAAACTATATCTTGCGGAACTTGTATGAGAAAATGATAGATATGAAATAAACAAATTATATATCAACTTAAGTGTTCTGAATGTAGAAACTCATCGGGACAAGACCTGGATTCGAACCATGAACTTCATATTGTTTCCCTATCGATCGAACCGATTTAGCTGCCTAGTCAATGGAAGTGGCCCGACCAAACTGTTCTACAGTTATCCAAACGGGAGTTAAGGGGAGGTAACTGTATATCGGAGAAACCGTAGTGCAGTGGGACAGAGATCCTTAAAAAAATAATATTTCTGTCATTTAAAACTGAAGAAATATTTAACTTCTCTAAAATTACAAAATCTTTATGTTATTTTCCTGGTCCCACCCTTAGGAACGGTCTTTCACTTAAGAAATTCCTGAATGTAGACATTGCCTATAGCGAAACATTTACCGAACTTAGCTGAGGAAATTTCCTGAACTCCATCAATTCTTTCCAAATGATTATCCTTAAGTTAAGGAACATTCGTAAAACTAGTATCGAAGCAATTTTGAAATTATCCAAAATACCATTACCGATTTTTTTTTTTTAAAATCACAGCTAAATTGAAACGACTGAAATGAATATTCCACGAACAGCTCAACGCGACAAAACGTTTTTGTCGTAGTATTCAGTTCATATTTACCCATTTTGCAGTCATACCTGTAAAGTAATGAGGTTTGATACCATACTGTCAAAATGAAATACGATATTTTACACGAGACATGGAAGAATGAAGTTCTGATATACACATGTATGTATAAATAAAAATTGGGAAAACAATGGGAAATATTTTTTTTATGAAGTTTTCATGAAGTCATGAAAGCAACACCACCCATTGTATGTAGATCATTGCAGCAACAGTTACACGTCCATCAGTACAGCACCATTGTGTGGTTTGAGCAAAACTGCGGAATGTAACACACGGATCGGTCGGATAAGCTTTTCCTCCGTGAAACTTGTGTGTCTTATATCCATCAATGCTCTGTGTATTTTTTTCAGAGAATCCCTCAAATTTTCAACTGAATACAGGTCACGAAAAGTTATTTTCCTGTTATTTCTTCTATATTTCTCATGTTTAAACAGTCTTCTCAGGTTTCAACAACCGGACGACTGTTTAAACCTTCTGTTTAAGGTATTCGACTTCACATGTTCAGGTTTCCGATTTAAAAGTTATTTACGCATTCCGAATGTTTTTGCTGATCCTAAAATTCATTTTGACGTTGATCGCTGGCAGCATATCCATAGTTTTCGTTTTCCACGGCCTCTCGGCATGGTTTGAGAACCATTGTGTCAGGTTCATCCGGAGGCTCAAGATATTCTAGTATGGCATTGACAGCGTCTGCTCGTCCCATCTCTGTTAATAGTCTCTACAATATAAGTTAGAAAATTAAAAGATATAATAAACTTTATGTATTTTACAACAATTACGAAACAAGTTATTTCAACTTATATTAATCACTCTTGGTGGCCCGGGGTCTTTTTGTGGGAGGAAACCGGAGTACCCGGAAAAAACACACCCACGTGTTCGGGCAGGTTACACCATACATGTACCTTCTCACGTCCAATCGGGGAATCGAACCCCGGCCGCTTTGGTGAAAGACAAGTGTGCTATCTAATTCACCACCCGACCACCCCTAATACTTGTTTTCTACTTGGATAAGTTGGTTGTTGATTTATCAAACTATATCACTTGCAAAACATCACAAAACCTATCAATAGATACTTAGGTTTCCATTTCTTATTTTGCTCAAATCGTTTAAAAATTAGTAAAATTTAGATTTTCATTCAGTATCTATTTCTTATTTATATTTATCAAGGATGAATAAACGTTCTTCGTTTTGTTGTGTGCTTCCATTTATGCTGATTTTTTTTCATTTAGAACCATCAGCTTGTGTTCCCAAACTAAGAATCATCGTAAACCGAAAGTTCATCATTCGCTCTACTGTTTGCTAATACATGTACTTCAACATTCTTAGGATATATTTGAAAGTACAAAAATCATGCCAATTGACTCTTGATGTAAACAGAAATATCAAATGATCTTCGTCTGGTTTAGAAGCATCATGTAAATGTATGCATTCCTTTCGTGTATCCTTAGAATATGCCATGCAAAAATGTCTTTTTTACGTGACACTTTGCGTGTGATACCAATAATTTATGGAATTGCGCGGTAGCGTAACGGTTAAATCGACAATCTTTGAAGTTGGCTGTATTTTTAAAGCCGAAACCAGTCAAATATAACAGATCCTTCGATTCTGTCATATTACAGGGGTGCGAATAAGATAATAATAATTATTATTATTCCAGGAACTTATATACCGCTTTATCATAACCTAGTTCGTAGGTCGTCTCAAAGCGATAGGGCCTTTGCAACCAGCCAATACCTTTCTCAACTCCCTGGGGAGCATTCAGCCGGAGCTTCCATTTCGGCGCTCACAGCTAGCATTGAACAATTCTAGCACTGCCCAACCACGTACTCATTTACAGCTGAGTCGACTGGAACAAGCAGAGTAAAGTATCTTGCTCAATGATACAACACAGTGCCGTGCCGTGACTCGAACCCTTCGGTCACGAGACCGGCGTCCTACCACTAGACTACCTTGCCTTATAAAAGGTGTGTATATCGTAATCGGAACCCATACATTTCAAGAAGGGTTAAGAAATGTTTGTTTAACAAAGGAAATTATTTTGGGATTAGGAAAGCGGCTGATACGCCTAGGATTGCAATGTCAGATTTGAATTTATTTACCTGCAGATCTCGGAGCGTCTGAGCTTTCTGCTCCATAGCCTGCAACAGTACTTCTGTGGGACTAGTGCCAATTGTCCTGGTCTCAATCAGTGGTATCATAGCATCGTATCCTAACTTCTCCGCAAGACCCTTCCAGTTTTTTGCCAATGGACACGGGACATCAAGTAGAACTTGAAGCCTCGTTCTGAGACATTGCGGAATCGCTCTGTTCATTGGAGTAATGATGGAAGCCGGTATGGGATTATTGCTATTCCTTTCCGGTTCCGGTTGAACAATTTGTGCAATTATCCGTTCACTTTCATTTTCCCGGTCGTCCTGCCTTACTTCTAAGTTAAGATTGAATTCAAGCATGGATTGATTTTCCCGCCGAAATCCCAAGCACACGTGCGGACATTGTCCGTGCCAGATGCTGAGATACGGTATCCGTGTACGTTCAGGTCTGGTCTGGTCAACCACTGTCCATCCCCGAGATACGTACCTACAAATGTATTAAAAGTAGCCATTATTATCGCACCTTTGATATCATTTGAAAACATTTTGACGGCTTTCTTCCGAAAACCCCGGAAATACTGCTAAGATCTAAACTATGTATCAACAAAAAAATACTGTATTCTGTGAAAGTTGCTTAGAAAATCATTCATCTCGATAAATACTTGGATACCTATTTCTTCGCTAGGACAATTATGATACAAAGTACGGTATTAACAGACGACTGCATTACACACCCTAAGTATTGTTTCTAATGTTATAGAAGAGATTCTATAGAAAGTTGCCACTATTACTCATACACTACGATAACACTGTACGTGGGACAAAACTACATCGTATTTGCCTTGAAAACATGTACACAGTAGATATGGCAATACAGGACATCGATATCTGAAGATAACTTACGTAAGATTAACGAAAACATCTTTGTCTGTACCCGACATTAGGAAGAGTTTCTCAGGACATATCAGCTTGCCGCCATATTGAGCCTCGTTGTGGATTGCCCATTGTAGAGCACAGTTAGTTTTGTTGAGGAAATACACCCTGATCTAAGAGGGCAAAAAACGTAAACTTTAAAAATGTAAACCAATTCAAGTTCATCTTAAGTCAAATGCTTTAGAACTACAACTTTGAATTTATTGTATCTCGAAACTACAATTTACCTCATCATGAAACTAAATACAACTTGATTTAAAAATTCAGTTTAACTGATGTCTTCTCATAATGTACTTGTTTTTAAATATGTGATGATTTCTTTTCCTTCCTGACACGACTTCCGGTTAACGATTCGATGTTATGGTAATTTGTATATGTTACTTACAGGGAATCTCTCTAACTCTTTCGTAGCTAATACAAATATAAAAATGATTCCTACAAAACACTAGGATTTCACATAACTTTTTCGTTTAAATTTTAAGCTAATTGTTTAAATGTCCTCTGGCTGGTCATTTGACCGCCACAATTGTACGGCAACGGTCAGTATGTCATGTCAATTTCTCAACAAACAAAAATGCCGATCCTTTATTTAATAAGATCATACATGTTTACTTTATCTCATATACGATCGTTTATACAGTATATAAGATACACACTTTTAATTAATATATAGGATCGACAAATAAGATTGTTTCCTGAGGTCGCTTGCCATTGGTCAGTGTGAAAAAGCATCTAAATTCTAACGTGTCAGGTATGAAAGAATGATGTTTTGATGTTAAATGGTGAAAAATGAACAAACTGAAAGTCCATTAGCTTACACTAAACAGCCATTGAGCTACCGGGGTTAGGACGCACCCACTGACAAAATCCCCAGAAACAGTACATGGTCGTTCCTCTTACCTGTTGGTGTTCTATATCCTGCTTGAGGCCTTCAGAGAAAACAGCAACTTGGAGCCACTTCTTGCCTTGTTGACCATCCGGTGGGCACTGAAGACACGTGTATAACGTGAAAGTGTCTATATTAAGTTTACACGTGCTAGAAGTCAATACGCATGCGCTTTTTTTGTCGTTTGGTTTACACATCACTTGCCAATTTTTCTGCTCGAAAAGGTCTGTTTCACTCTTCATAACTTGAATGTGTCGTTCATCGAAAGAACAATGCATGTAATACAACACGCACGGCTTGTTTAGTTTAATTCCATGTGGTCCCACAAACACCACGGGACTAACAAGTGCCTGGTTTGGCTGCATGGACGGATTATCCCCTAAATCCCAATTTAAAAGCAGTGTGATGCTCTTTGTTTCTCCTTTGTTGACAGCTCCTTGGGGTACTTCAATTGAAATACCCATATTGTCTAGAGCGAGAAAAGCACCATTGTACCCTACGCGCCGGGTAATGTAGACTACCAATTTATTCCCTATCATTGTAGTGATACTCCTATCAACTTCCTTCTGCATCTTCATCCATGACGACCGGAAGTCTGTACTGTGACCCGGGATTACATCCAAGTCCACTGAACTATCGTCACCTGGTCGGTTGTGAAACCGTTGGTGACATATGCCCTCAGCTGGACCATTGGTGGGTACATCCGGCACATATCCTTCATTATATGGTGGATTACCTGGGTGCTGGCTTTGCTCAATACAATTGTGTCTATTACAAGCGTTGCAAAGACGTTGATCGTTATTACAAGCTCTGTTATGTTGCCGACATGTAATGTGCCGTCTTTTTTTACCCAGGCCCAGCCGCATGCATATTACTACACAAAGTCCTACAATGATCAAAGTACAAAGAAAGGCTAGAGTGGCTAGGATCCCTATCAGGTACAGATCCCCCTTCTCGCCCATCATACTATTGTCTTTTAATACGTGTCCGTGCATCCTTTTGATAGTTAACGCCGGCCTTAGTATTGATACTTTCCATCAGGAATGATCTGGAAAAAAATAAAGAGAATGTAAAAGAAATAAATGTTCTTTTTAAATAATAACAATAATAATAATAATAATTCGAGGTTCTTATATACCGCTTTGTTACAACCTAGTTCGTAGGTCGTCTCAAAGCGGGTTCACAAATTATTATCCGCAGTTATATGGCCTTTGCAACCAGCCAATATCTTTCTCAACTCCCTGGGGAGCATACAGCCGGTGCTGGCATTACGGCGCTCACAGCTGGCATTCTAAAATTCTAACACTGCCCAACCACGTACTCATTTAGTAGACTGGGACAAGCGGAGTAAAGTATCTTGCTCAAAGATACAATACAGTGCCGTGACGTGACTCGAACCCGTAACCCTTCGGTCACGAGCCCCGCGTCCTACCACTAGACTACCGTGCTTCCTTTACTTTTAACGTCACGATGTTTGTGAAGTGTTTTTATAAAGGTTGTGGTAGAAAAGCAAATCTAATGTTTTAGCAGTCTATAGAACAGGTTTTGGAAACGAGTCACCAAGCTATTCCGTCTTTGCGTATTGCAGAGTTGTCTTCTCTTGGGGGCAGGTATTGATTGTTACGTCACTTGTTTGTGAGAGTAACGTCATCAATTTTTGAGAAAACGACGTAATTTTCTCACACAAACCAATGACGTAACAATCAATACCTGCTCCCAAGAGAAGATAACTCTGCAATACGCAAAGACGGAATATCAAACTGCATGCTATCGTAAGGGGTGAACCACGTGCCCCCCTCCCCTTGCAGAATTGGGGATTTTCTTCCTCGTTTTCGGCTTATTGGACATTGAAATGATAAAATCTGGGAGCTACCCCCTAAGGCATTTACCCATTTCCTCTCCCTCCCTAATGTTCTTGTTATTTTCTTCTGTCTTCCATGGCATCCGTCTTCATGTTACAATACACTCTGCTGGTGTGAGGAAGTTTAAATTCATACAAACTACAAACAAACAATTGAGATGTAATTGTTATTTAAATATATATACTGATACCATTTATCCCATTTTATTATAAAGATATAAACAATGTAATATTTGTTGTTCAATCGCTTCATCTGCAATATACCACCTCTCTAAATTTGCTGGGGAACGGGATTGAATTGAAATGACCACTATTGTTAAGAAACCGCTAAGGGAAGAGTCAAATTTATCAAATTCGTACACATTCGTCGGGTGTTGTTACACACGTGAAACAATTTGTTAGTAGTTAACATTTTAGTCCACCAATAAAATTATAAAAAAGGGAAAAATCCACCAGTTTGAACGCCATTTCAATTATCTTAAGATTTGTTAGGGTTTTCAATGCTTCCAACAGCTATACAGTGGCATGAGGATGGTGTCTTGTGGTGGTCACGCTACTTCAGGGCCACTTGTAAGTGCAATATCATTCAAATGTCATTTCACGATATCATGATACGTCATCCGGCCATATCATACTGATAAGGACCAAACAGTCTTTTTCACAGACCATTTAGAGCTTACCGTAAAGCAGTTAACGCCATTTTCTAGGGCTGTTTGTTTGTCTCGGTCAGGGAACAGAATCCATAGCCTTATTTACTTAAGAGAACGCTCATCACTATTGCCAAAAGCGAAGTACTGTCAAACAAGGCACTAGACGAAACAAGTAGTTAACACGAAGAAAGAACAAAACGATCGCATTAATTTTGTGATGGACGCAGTAGATTTATTTTAGTAATTTACTTGTCCCGAAGTTACGGGCATTTGTAAACCCTCAATTTAGCAGAGGTGTTAAATTTTAATTAAATTTCAAACTCTGGCAATGCAAATCTATTTCCCTATTTAATTCATAGAATTTTGATTTATAATTATAAACACATTGAAATCATTCCAGGGAATATTACAGAAAAGTATTAGCATGGCATACATTATGACCGGTAGTGCTGTGGATTAGTCACAAAAGTGCCAAACAAATGATATAAAATGGTATTGTAAGGAAATATTTGGTGATGAGCAAGGAAATGAACACAAAAGCGTTTTTATTTTCAGTGAAATTGTAAATCCAAAAACTCGAAATAGAAATTACAAAGAAAATTATTGAAAAAAACAAAACAGTTTTCATTTGAAAAATATTGAAAAGAACCCCCTGACTTATTCCTTGAAAATTATGTAAAAGAACCCCCTGACTTAATCCTGACTTAATTTTCACATGTTTTCAAAAACAGAAATAGTATTATTATTTTGGTTGTTTAGCTCATTTTGAGAACAGCAAGTTATATTTGTGATTTACCCTACCCCTTTTGGTACCTCAAAAACTCCCTTTCTGTCAATATTTTGCCTTAGTTTTGCGCATGTTATGCAATAGGGCATCTTTGAACAGATTAAGGAGGTGAAAATCTGGATATACCGGAGCCCAAAAACGGGCATTATAGACACTCTTCCTTTGAACACTTCTTGTTGGCGATATAAAGTAAAGATCACGGTTCTATAGCTGGGTCTACTAGCTATTTTAACTTTTAACAGGTATCCCATTCACACACTCATCGACGGAAAAACATAAATTATGATAAACCACGATCTTTTATCATGAGCAATCAGTTCTCGATAAGAAAATGATTGAATTTGGCTCTGTATAATCCAAATGACCTACCATTAGAGCAGAGACAACATTGACGTATTACCTTAATATTTATAACCTTCGTTTTAACTGAGATTTTAAACTTATCACCATCTGAAGAGGTTTGTTAGCTTAGGCACGTATCTCCGCAAGAACGATAACATATTTAAAGGTGGTCTAAAGTATTTGGTACAAGAAATGACATTGCTTCCTGGTGTGGTATCCAGGGCGTCCTACATTTTGATATCTGTTGATAGTTCATAAGTTCATTGTCATCCAGATCCTGGTTATATATGTATATTGTATCGAGCGACATCTGAATTTCCAATTAGCTCTAAAGAGGCTCCATCCTTTTTTGATTAACAAGTATACTTTCACACTTTCACATGAAAATCTTGCCTTTCAAGTAAAAGTTGACTTTCGCAAATTTTGAGCATACCATATTTTTGGTGGCGTTGTATCGTCAAAAACTGATAAATAAAAAAAATAAAAAAAATATTGCTGATCATGAAAAACCCTACATATATTTAAAAACGAAGACACGAAAATGTCAACAAGCATGTGTATTACTTAGGTATGAGGCTCCATAACTTAATTTAATTGTATTGAGGACCGCATGATTTGATCTAATTGACAATTTAATTTCATCATAATAACGAGAATAAAGTTTTGTTAAACTGTCAGGATTAACATTTATACAAATCATTCATTTCTCGTCGCCCTGAAACACAACATCCAAGGATTTCAAAAATGTTATTTTAATGAGCCTTAAACTGAAATTTTCAAAACGTGTTTTCGAGTTTGTAGATTTTAAACTTGTCATTATACAATCAGATATACGCAGAAAAATTAATTTTGAAAGAAAAAATGAAAGTAATACCTGTATAAAGAGATTAATAAAGATATCCCATGACATAAAATTAATTTGAGAAACTCGATAAACGTAGCAGACTTCTTTAATTTCCCTATAAATCTAAACTAATTATAATTTATGTAAGGATGGTACATTTGTAGTAAGTGTTTCCCAGGTATGATTTTAGCTATTGTTGTATAAAGGTTCTAGTCCGTTGCGCACAATCAGTTGAATGGTTAAACAATATAAAAAAATCCTACCAAAACTGTATTAAGATATACAAATGTATTAAACAAGAAAACAAGACGTGTATGTCACGGGATTTAGCACTGACACATTCACATGATTTTTTTTAATATATTTTGGAAATACGTTTAAAAAGTTTGAATATTACCATGTAAGTCTATGTAAAACATGAGTTCATGAAACTTGGTAATAACGATAATAATAATATCTTTTATTTAACCAGGGTTATATATTTAGATAATGTCTAGTTTACAATATGGCCCTGCATCAAATATATATATACAAGCATGACACAATTTAATATAACAGTATAACAATGCAATAAATATAGTATCATCACAGTCAATGTAACTTAAATTTTAGTAATCCTTAAAATATAATTAAACAGTGAACACTTGCATATCACACAAGTCTTACGTAAAAACATGGTTAAAGCACTAATAAAGATATACCATGACATCAAATAGTGGAATATTCATACAATGCTAATATAGCACAGGGTAAAAATTGACAGGATATATCATAATATAGTGTGTATTAAAATGAGACAATGAAGTCGGTGGTGTAAAAGAAATTTAGAATAGAACATTTTCAAATGACATTTGCCTTTAGCTAGAAACAAGATGTAGGAAACTTTACTCCTATATTAAGATACCAATATAAGGGAAATAATCACACATACAGCTATATGCTATTCATACAATAGATTGAATATCATAAAGGACATGTTTTGAAAATAAAACTTGAGACTAGTTGTAGTACATACGGCTGTATATAGCTAAGTTTTTGTGAAGCAATGCTGCAGGTATTTGTTTACAAATACTTACTGTTTGCTAACCTATTATTTGAATGACATATCGTGAGAGAAAATGCTATTTATAAAAACATTATCAGCATAAAAATCACGACTTGGCTGGATACCCAGAAGATAGTAACTGTGTCACTGTACTACGTGCTCTAATACAAACCAGACAAGCCTAAATCTGTAAAAGCATTGTTAGTTTGTCTGAATTGATGAAGTCTAAATGTGGAATTGTATGTAACACGTACCACACTGTCGCCGAACAGTTGATAAAGAAACCACACTGAGCTTATGCAGAAGTTATTTAAACACAAACTTTACAGACGCCACACAGTTGTAGACTTAACAAGAACTAAACAATATATATGCATTATATATATATATAGCTGTATTGACACAAATCACATAGACTTGATGCAACAGTTAGCTTAACATAAACCACACATGCCATATAAGTAGCTGGTTTATACAAAACTTACAAGGTCAATACAGTGTTTACCTTAATATTAAAAA